TTATTAATTTTACATAAATTTTTATACAATATTCAAATAAATAAAATTAATATAATATAAAATGTAAAAATAAAATAAAATAAAATATTTTACCTCAAAATTTATAAAATGTTATGATTTTGATATGAAAATTTGTGTAAAATTAATCAAAAAATTTCTAATTAATGAGTCTTAATCTATGCCAACAAACCCTCTTTACATTCGATAGGAGATTAATATTGAAAAAGTTAGAGAAAAGTTGTCACATAAATCTTATATTGAAAAGATTGGGAGAGTTTTTGCTTAAGAAACGTGGGAAGAAAAGATTGCACATCGATATTAGTATCAAGAAAAATAAAAGTTAAAAGTTTTAATTTCACCTCTTATTTATTATAATATTAAAGTGTGAAAATTTTAATAATATATTTAAATAGAAGTTAATGAATCAAAGGAAAGGAAAGGAAAGGAAAAAGAACGAAGGGAAAGAATTAGTAGTGTAGCTTCATTTAAATAGACTAAGATGAAGAAAGTAGAAGGAAGTAAAAGATTTTTTTTTTATTTAATTAAATAAATTAAATAAAAATTATTACAAAAAATTAAGTAAAATTCTATAACTTAAAATAGTTAAAGGGTAAAAACTATACAAAATCCCAAAGTTGAGATACTAAATTGACATTTAACCTTTGCTAATTTGTGTTTCGAAAAACCTTCCTTCCACCCTCTCTGCTAGTCACCGGAGCCGCGGTGAGAAACTGTTCTCGAATTTTCTTCAAAATTGTTTCTTTCCTTCCCTTGTTTTCTTTATTTATCTTTTTCTTTCTTTCTTTTTTTTTTTTTCCTTTTTGTAAAAGATTCTGCTAAATTTTCTATCAACGTTAAAAGAGCTCCCTTCTTTGCTGTGGAAAGGGTTAATCAGTGATCTTGCTCAACTTGGCCCTTCTGTTATGGGATTTCTTTCCAATAAAGGCATCAACTTTAGGAATTTTGAGATTGCAGCGATTTATATGGGTTATAATTTAGAGTTTTTATGAGACTTCTTTTTGTGGTTTTGCAGAATTTGGCCTACCGGGGCAAGGAAGAAGAGGAAGCTCAACCTGACCCTATTGGGAAAGAACCCATCACTTGCTGGAATTATTGAAGACTTCATAATAGTTTTGCTTCAAAAGAGGAAGCTCAGCCTGACCCTATTGATAAAGAATCCATCCCTTGCTGGAACGATTCAAGACTTCATGATAGTACTACACGAACAAATTATTAGAGGATCCCTAGGCTGAAGACAGGATTTGAGAGGAAATCTTAATTCTTGGTTAGATTCCTATCTTCTTCAGCTTTGTCCAAATCCACTTGGATAAGGTAAGATTTCCTATCATTTTAGAAATTTGAAACTGCATACATTAAATGTATGAAGATTAAATGATAATCAAATGATTGGAGCACTTTCAAGTTGTTTTAGATAAAAGGATTTGTTCTAGATTTCAAGTTGTTTCTTATATGAAAGGATCTAGAATCTGGCTTCTTATCACTTGAGAACTTTGAAACTGCATACCTCTAATGTATGAAGATTAAATTTTATATCTTTGAAACTGCATACATTGAATGCATCAACATAATAATAACATTACACATTTGCTCACATCTGTAGGAAATTGATCATATTTGTTGGAGGCAAATTCCAGAAGAGAATGGTTCACAACGGGAAATCAGTTTCATGCTTCCTCTGCCAGAAAATTCACAAGCCCTGCCCTTTACCTTTTCAATATGGTGGTTATGATTCAACTTTATCTAACATGTAAAGGTGTTTATGTTGACAACATTAAGTTTTAGAAGTAGTCAATTATATTTAGGTGTTGTCATGATGGATGAGTATGGATCAATGTCTTCATGCTTATAAAATTTTTATGTTATCATATGATTTATGTTTTTTGTAAGGTATGTTATTGTCCCTCAGGACAGTGCTGGGTGATTGAATTTCAGTAGCATAACTGCAATGGCAAAAAATTAGTCCAATCTCAAAGGCAAGCTTTCCATTTAATCTTGATTTTAATGGTTGATTCTTTTTTACAAAATTAAAGGGAGAAAGAGAATGGTGGAGCTCCATTTAATCTCAATGTGATGAGTTCCGACGTTTACTAAATTATTTTGCCTTTTTTTTATTCTTTTTCATGAACACAATTTCCCAATATCTCACTTCTGTTTATTTTTATTAATGAACATAATCTTTTTGGTTGTCATGTGATGATGGAGGAGAATGCCGGAGCTGAAAACGAAAGCCAGAAAGGGTTAGCTTCATCTTGTGCTCTTTACAGGTACTATATATATCAGATTTGCAATCAGATCTAATAAATTAACTCTCAAGAACTGTGATATGAGTACATTTTTGTCTTTATGTTTTCTAAGTGCTAATTCTATAATAAATATCAGAATTTCAGGAACAAGTTGAGTCTGTTTTATTGACTGAAACAACTGGCATGTTGATTGCAGAACTGAATGCATAAACTTAAGCATATGGATATGAACAGAAAACATCTATTAATTTTTAGAGGTAAATTTTTCAAATGCAATGGATGGTGAATTTGATTGATCTCGTAATTTAGCATGCCTTATTTCTCTTAATTTCTATTTTTTAGAATCTGTTGATTGTTAATGAATTTTAACGAATTTTCCAATCTTAGAAAAGAATAGATGATCATGTGAATTGTAAGTTTCTATTATTGTGTAGTTCAGTAGTTGTTTTGCATTTCTTTCACTTTGTACTGATTCTTTGTAAGTTTGATATACAAAAACCCTATAATGTAAAACTATAAATATTTTTTGAATAATTTTAAGTAGTCCTGATTGTAGATGGATTGAGATGTGGTAATCAAGGAGAACATGAAGTCACTTGGACTTAAAAACTAAGCACATTATCATAGTGGATTTTGTTTGAATCTAAGAAAGCACGCTTTTTGGGACTCCATCGTATTGGTGAAGAAATGGGTTTTCATTTTACTTTTGTTGATGTCTCATCATA